CGCGCAGCGCGAGCTGCAGCCCGCTCGTCACCTACGGGGGCGGCTCCGCGAAGGCTCCAAAGAGGCTCCGAGACGGCTCCGCCAGCGGCAGCAGTGCGTGGGCACCTCGGCGAGCGCGTTGGACATGTAGTAGTCGCGTCCGCTCACCAGCCCGAGCGGCGTCGTCCGGATGATCTCCAGCGTCTCGCCGTTGAGCGTCCAGCGGCCGCCTGAGAGGGAGGGTCGGGGAAGGGCTCCACGGGCAAAGGGCTCTTGATCCTCTGCAGCTCGCCGGCGGAGCGTCGGGCGGCCTGTGCCCGGCCCGCCGACCGCACCGCCCCAGACGACGGAGCCGTCGGCGAGCAGCGTCACCTGCGGTGAGGGGGCCGTCCGGGTGGAGCGGCGGGCCACGAGGGGGGCAGGTGGAGGGACCCTCGAGACCTCTCTACTCTCTCTCTGTCTCTGCCACCGCCGCCGCCGCCGCCTAGGGCAGCTTTTTGGACGGGGCGGGCGGGCGTACCTCGGCGAGAAAGTCGTCCGACGGAAGCCACCCTTCCTCGCGCGGCACCACCAACAGCTCCCACCGCGTGTTGACCAGGTCGGACGTCTCCAGCAGCTGCGTCGGCGGGCCTTCAGGCTCCGCCGGCTCGCTGGGCAGCTTCGGCAGCTCCGACGGAGAGGCCGCGGCCGGAGCCGTGTCCGGCACCGCGCCATCCACCGCGTCCGCTGCCGCCGCAGCCTGCTGCGACGCCGCGGCGGGCTCCGCTGCTGCTGCGCCGTCCGCCTCGTCGGAATACCACGCTGCTGCTGCGCCGTCCTCGCCAAGCGCCGCAGAGGCTGCGACGCGTACACGGGGCGCGCAAACCGCGGCGCGCACGCCGCAGGAGGGCAAGCACCGCGTGGCTGCCGCCAAGCTCGCGAGCAGGGCGGTGACGCAGATGCGGAGGAACGTCATTGAGCAGGCAGGCGCGCACACACACACGCGTGAGTGAGCGAGCTCGGAGCTGGGTTCGGTGAAGAAACCAGGTTCACAGGCGGGCGCACCCTGGCGGCGAGGGCGGCGGTGGAGACGGTGGTGACGAGGCTCGAGGGTGGCGGCGCGGGGACGGTGGGGACGGCGGTGGTGATGGTTCGTGGGTTTGTGGGGTGAGGAGCGAGAAAGAAGGGGCGGAAGATGGGGGTGGGGATGACGGTGGTGGAAACGGCAAGGGGGGTAGCCTAGGTCGGCGGCGAGGGCGGCAGCGACGGGGGTGGCGGCGACGGGGGCAGTGGCGAGGGCAGCGGGGCGGCTCGGAGGCGAGGGCGAGAACGGTGGCATGCCGGAGGGCG